CCCCTCCCCCCCCCCCCCCCCCCCCCCCAACTTGGCTAGAATGGGATTTACCATACAAAGAGAAAAGAAACTCTCTATTATGTTTCAAAGCTGGTTGGCTGAGATGTCTTCAAATGTGATTCTTCTTCTACCAACTGCAGGGAATGGGGGGAGTGTAGTGTGTTAATCAAACCTAGCAAACTTTCTCTGCAGGGGCATCATTGTGGTTTTGCACCTAGTAAAATTGACATAACGTTAAACAGAGGTAACACAGTTTTTTGAGTTGGATACCTCTTCCTAGTCAAGACCAGATCAAGTTGCAGTCAGCTTCATAAGCGAGAAACCTGCTCTTTAAACGCAAGTCCTTTGGGCAGGCTCTCAAAGAATAGCTGGAATTGTTCTTCTGAAAGAACAATGCTGGCCCTTTAAGGCATTGTAGTGGAGGGTGTGTCTATGCTGAGAACTCTTTAGCAGAAAAGCTCTATGCTGATGGCAGCCAAAAATGTGTCTCCATGGAGAGAGAACTTTTAAGGCTCATGGGATCTATCTATGACAAAAGGTAGAAGTGCAGTCTGGATAAGTGCATCTCTTTCTAGCTAACCCTATAGCAGAGCAATTTGTCTTCCCCTGCACAGAGCAAGCTCTGGAGACCTCTGGCAAGTCTGCTGCCACATTAACTAAATTGTATTGTGGTTGTAAATAAACTGGAACTGAATTGGTCTGGGCTGGAATTTTGCTGCCTCCTTGTCAGAGTGCACTGGTGCCACCTCTGATCCCTTTGGCTTGGAAAAACTCAGGTAGGCAAGGGATGGAGCAGCAAAGAAGCCCTGAGATGACTGGGGCAACAAGGAAATCCTGGCCTGTGACTAGTCCTAGGTGCTCCCAGAATACTCATTAATATATGCAGCAGCAATAACACCTTTTTTTAAGTAGCCGTGGAGTTTAGCAAAGGTGACTCCTTGCAATTATGGAAGACTTCAATGTAAATGCCATATTCATTCAACTTAAAGATGAGGTCCCATCCCCATTTAAAATTGGGGGGGGGGAGGGGGAATGGGAATCCCCTTGTGTCTCAATTGAGCAAAAGGCAGTGGGGAACATGGGATAGGGCTGGAGCTGCAGCTGCCACCTGCCCCCTGCACACCCAGCTACTCCTACAACCCCCAGTCTCACTCACTCCCATTCTGCTTTTCCCCTCTGCCACACTTCTCCTTGCCTCTTTTTTGCTCCTTGCTGGCAGGCTGCAGCTTGGGGCACAGCATGTGCTGGCTGTGCACTGCTGCTATGGGCTAGAGCATATGCTCTGTGCCCTGGGCTGCAGCCAGGATGGAGCCTGCCTGCTCAGAGCAAAGGTAAGCAGGGAAGGGGCATAGAGGTGCTGGTGAGGTGGGGGGTTATCTTCAGGGGGGTGGGAGGGAAGACTGGAAGAAGTCAGGGTGGGGACTTGAGCCTGCAGGGGACAGAAGCATTGGGAGGGAGAGAGGTGTGAGGAATATAAAGGGATCGAGGCAGCCTGAGGCTGCAGGGGGGCAGGCACAATGGGAAGTAAGTTTGGGGGGGTGTGGAACAAAACAGGCAGCAGGGGGCAAGCTGCCTGCCTCTCTCTCTCGCTGTCTGTCCATCTGCCCCACTAACCCTTACCAAACCTACCACCTGCTTCCTTACACCCTGTTACTACCCCATCACCTCTTTCCCCCATCGCCTGCAGTAGTAGGGGGAGGAATTTAAGATGATCCTCTAATAATTAGCTTCCATACTTGCAGAAAACTTACTGTAATTATTGGAAGTCATCTTAAATTAAAAGTTGTCTTGTTTCCAGGTAAATATGGTAGGCTTTATTCTCTTCATTTTTAAATCCTGTTTGCATGAAAAGGCCCCTGAAGCCTGTCCTGCAGATACTTAGCTTGCTGTCCTACTCTTCATAGCAATAAGGAAATGTCTCCAAGTGAGTGTGCAAGTGTGCATAGTTTATTTCCAGCCCTGGCACCTACTTCCACTGTTTTTTTTTTTTTTTGATGCATCCTTTTGCCTTCTTTTTGAATCCAGCTTCAGCTCCCACATCATTTGAAGGGCCTTTTGGGAAGGTTGTCCATCAGATCAAAGCTGTGATAGATACACCCCGATTCTCCAAGGATTACAAGTGCAACAAAGTCTTCTATGTCCTCTGTCCACTCAACCTGAATGCCATCCCCGAGATTGAGGTAAGAGCTGTAGTTCTTGAGGAGGGCAGGGAAATGTTGGGATTTGAGACCATCAGCAGGTTCTGGAAGATCCATTCAGAAGTGTGAGGGATGTCATGTCTGGGGGGCAGGCATCCCTTGCGCC